CATCCATACTGTACACAGGTAAGATGGGGAACTGAGGATCGAGCCCTGGGATCTGCATTCGCTACTGCGAACTGGTGAATACCGTTTCAATTTTCCAATTTCATTTCTATTTTTTTTCTTTCAACTTCTTCATAGAAAGTTCATACTAATAAAACTGAATTTTATTTGTTGACTACTTAACCATACTTTACTTTGGCGCCAATCGCATCCACCCCATCGCCGATATCTTCCAATACTCTCCCTGAAGGCGCCGCCATGCCGAGACTGCCCGCGTCATGCCCAGCCGCCACTCCGCGCTCACGTTTTTCCAACCCGTAGGGCGCCACAGGACTGCCCGTGTGAGAGTACCAACCCGACAGGGCGCAGCGCCCCACAGTTTCCCCAACTGGACAATCTTATTTTTYATTTTYTTTCATTTTCCAATTTCATTTYTAATTTTTTTYTTTYWACTTTWYYCCCCCCCCCCCCCCCCTTTTCCCTATTTWCTTTYWTTTTYTTCATACTAATAAAACTGAATTTCATTTKTTKACTACTTAACCATACTTTACTTCGGCTCCGTGTTTGTTTTTYTATATGCCAAATCAAATCATATTAAGAAAATTGTGGTGATTTCTGCCAACCAATCACCTTGCCGGCCGAATTGACTTCCATCAACAACTGGTTTTCTTCCGTAAAGTCAAAACAGAATCAACCATTCAATTGCCAATGACACACTGCGCAGCAGAGACACTGGAATGCTAGTAGGTGTGCAGCTCCCAATGAAAAGAGCACCATTCTGCTCCTCCCCCCCCCCCCCCCCCCTTTTCCCAACCCTGCACCCAGCAGGCAGATAACCAAAAGCATGCCAAGCTCATGCTTTCCTGTTGATTAACCCCCCCACCCMCCCACCCTCYCCCCCCYSCCCCYTGAAAGAAACTTCTTGGCCTGAAAAGAACACCCAATCACTAAGACTGCATCTAGTCAGGAACACACCTTATACGCATTCATGATGACTATCTGCTGTCGTGTTCAGGGGATCCGTGTGTTCTTGTTGATCCCTATCCGCCCCCCCCCCCCGCCTCCTTGTCCACCCCAAAAAAGGTACCTTCTTACCCCCAAAAGAGTACTCAGTCATTATGACTGCATCTAGCCAGGAACGTGCCTTATATACGGTTCATGATGACTGGTGGTGGTTGTTTTTCAGGAGAAGGTAGCATCACTGCTATCCTGCATAACACTCATCCTTTATCGCAGTTCCGCAAACTTCAGAGAGATGGGACCCAGAATAGCAATGGAGGATTGCGTCCATATACACTCCAGAAAATAAATTTCCAATTTATTGTGCACTGAAGTGAGGGCAAATAAAAACTACAAGCGGGCTCCTCGTCAGCATGCCACCCCCCTCAACGTCCTCTTACAGAATCCGGCCAATCAAACCCATGCTCAACCAGTGTTTCCCGACAAGGACTGCAACAATGCAAAATTGCAAACCCCTGGTCAAGTACGATTACCAGAGGGACTGCAACTGTGCAGACCCCGTTCACACTACAATATCTTCCCCCGAATAGAACACCCTGTCATTATAGCTGTATCTGGGCAACTTTCAGTCTCGATATAGCATTAATGACCAGGCATTCTACTCAGGTGAAGACGGTAGCCCACAGCACAATACTTCATCACATTCCCAAATAGGATGGCCTTGAAAACGGCAAAAAACAAAACAAAACAAAATGGGATGGCATCATACTGCTACCGACTTCGTGACACTGAACAGTACGTATCGTGAGCTGTTCACGAGGTAAACACACCTGGGGTCAAACTCTGATGGAGTCCAAGTTTGAATCCCGATGGAGTCGGGATCGGGATCAAATCCTGATGGCATCAATTTCAAATCCTGGTGGACTCAAGTTCAAATCCTGATGGCAGCAAATTCAAATTCTGGTGGAGTCAGATGAATAAGATAACTCTGAAGTACCCGGGGCCGGTCAGCTCCATAGTGATACTTCAAGGCTGTCGCTTGACAAAACAGAAGAAGAGGGGGGCGGGGAGGCGCTTCAACTGTCCTTAGGGCGTAATCACACCAGCACTATCTTAAATGTATCGGACAGAATTTACGGCCACACCTGGATGCATCTGGCTGCAGCTCCGTCCCCAAATAAGTTAAAAAGTCATAGTGTGAGTATGCCTTTTTTTTTTTTTAACCCACAAATCCTGCAAAGCATATAATGGATCACCCCTATTCAGGACAAGATTGGAGCTAGGATCTAGGGCCAAGGTCCAAGACTACCTTAAATTTACTGACCAGAACTAAGCTATCATAGGGTTATGGGTCTACCTACGTCTACCTATCTCTGCTCTGTGCAGGGAGCAGTACCCACGCTCCTAACACCTGGTGTGGGCTGGTACAGACAACCAGCCAGGAGGCCCAAGCCAAAAATCTTCGCTGGGTTCAAAATCTTCCCTGGTGAACCCGAAGCATCTCCCAGGAGGCCGTGGGGATTGAAAGGACGACGTTGGGTATCAAACCCACCACCTCCTGAGTGCCACTTACGTGCTCAACCAACTGAGCTAGCCCGCTTGGGCGTGTGAGTATGCCCTTACATTAGTACTGCATACATTCACGACAGAAGGGTGCTTTTAACTGTCCTTACATTTAGTCCCCTGCGTACATTGATGACAGGGTCAAGTTCAAATCCTGACGGAGTCAGACGAATAAGATAACTCTGAAAAAAAAGAAACTTTAAAAAAGGAGGGGGGGGGGGGAAAGGAAAACTGAAGTACCTGTGGCTGGTCAGTTCCTCGATGGTACTTCGAGACTGTGGCTCTGAAGTACCTGGGCCCAGTCAGTTCCAAGGTGATACTTCAAGGCTGTCGCCCTTTGCAAAAAGGAAGAAGGAAATTGGAAACAGAAAACAGGTGCTTTAACTGTCGTTAGTTTAGTGCTGCTTACATTGATGAGTATCAATGATGGGCTGTTGCGCCTGGGTCCTGCCTCGAGGTAGCTTGTCTTGTCATCGTCGCTCTCCTGGAAACCAAAGAGCACCTCATCTTGCCCCACTTTCCTGAAATTGAATTTCTTGGGATCGAAGTCCTGCAGCACCTGATCCACTCGGAATTCTGTCAGTCTTTTCTTTGAGTATCGTCCCTCGTTCAGCTGCGCCACGAACCCATAATCGCCAGGAATCAACTGCAACCAGCCACCAAACCAGCCAATCAACCAATTGCAATCGACGTCACATTGGCTTGTCAGCACTCTTCTTCAAGTATCATCCCTCGTTCACCTGCCCCACAAACCCATAAACACTACCATCTTCACCCGAATAGAACGCCTGGTCATTATAGCCGTATTTGGGGCAACTTTCAGTCCAGGTTAGCAACTGCGCCACAAACCCGTAATTAGCAGGGATCAACCGCAACCAACCAATCAACCAATTGCAATCGACGTCACGTTGGCTTGTCAGCACTCTTCTTCGAGTATTGTCCCTCGTTTACCTGCCCCACAAACCCATAAACACTACCGTCTTTCACCCGAATAGAACACTTGGTCGTTATAGCCGTATTTGGGACAACTTTCAGTCCAGGTGAGCGATAATGACCGGGTGCTCTATTCGGGTGAAGACGGTAGGAGTCCTAACTGCGCGCAACCAACCAGCCAACCAATCGACCAACCAATGGCAATCAGCGTTGCGCTGGTTTGTCAGGAGGACAAGCTCAAGAAATGGACAAGGTCAGCAATCTCTGATGGCACAAAGAAATGACCACAGACTTGCAGAGGCATTGCTACCATCTTGCCCCAAACCGAACACAACCTCATTATGAATGCATCCATCCAAAAAGATAGCTTGATTACGTTCGTGATCAGGGTGCATTGTGTTCGTCGGAAGGAGGTAGTGCTCGGCCAAAGCAGGTAATATGATACAAACCCAAGCAGCAGCTTGTGACTCCTTAAGGAGGGTTGCATAACTTGTTTCTTCTCTTTTGAAAGAGACGAGAACGAGGATGGACCAGGCCAGCAGCCTAGCTCAGTTGGTTTCGCATGCAAGTGGCATTCAGGAGGTCCTGGGTTCGATTCCCAACGTTCACCTGCAGCGTGCTTGGTGTTCACCAGTTGAGATAGTCGGCTTGCTCCCGCTGGTTGGTCTTGGTACGTCCTGCCATCCCTTGCTGGGGGTTAGAGGCTTGCTTCGGATAGGTTCTCCCCTGCGGATTTAGTCATGTAAGTTAGGTAGTGTGAGGTACATTTGAGAGACAAATAATGGGACATATACTTGAGAGAAGAATATTGCAACATACCTTATTTATAAAAAAAAAGAAAGAGGATGGACCGTAAAAGTATTGCACTGAATAGGATTTGAACAATCAATCTATTGAGCACAGGTAACATGTTTATGGAGTATTATGCCCTGCATTAGACAGCGTGCTAAGTATGCTTATGTCTTCCCCCCAAACAGAACGAATGGTCATAATAGCTGGCTGCTGTATTCTGGGCGCCTTGCAGTCGGGATAGAGCAATAGTGACCGCATGTTCTACTCAGGTGAAGACAGTACCATAACTCGATTCTCTGATCAGTCTCACCAAACACAGGCTTAAAGCACCAGTACATGCCAGCTACCAGCCGCAGGCCCCTTTCAGAGGCCGCCTGCCGCCGATCCATTTTATCTATGGCGCTCGGCCTCCTAAATTTTCATAGAGGCTCAAAACAGGTCCTCCAGTTGCCCGGGGCCATGTACTGGTGGTTTAAACTGCCAATATACAGCCCCAGCCCTGTAGAAAATCGCAATATGCCAACTCTGAAATTTTTGCAGCTCGGCGCTACCGGACCACAATGGCTGGTGGCGCCAGCCAAAAGGGAAAAGAAGTGCAGCGCTGGCAGTTCGGAAAAGCTTGGCACGTAGTGCAGGGCCTCCACACCCCGGTGCACCGGTGGTTTAAGTGCCGATACATCAGATGGGCTATCCTCAAAACACTCGCTGATTCACAGAAAAGAAACGGGGAACGGGAAGAA